CCCCCGCCCCTCTAAAAATTAGTTTTCGAAAATTTTGTTATTCCCCAAAGTGTTGTTTGTTGTTGTTGTCGTTTGGCCACAAAATTTGTTGCCTTTACAAAATATTTAATACCTTCCTACTTTGATGATGTGTCCTTAATGTTGGTATTGTAGATTCCGCTCCCACTCCTTGGGTTTCTAGCAATTTTTCCTAGTTGTTGTACCCAACGCACAACTGGTTTTAAAGTTTTGCAGGATATTTACATATATATATTTACATGTATTTGTATGAGTGTGCAGTTAAGATGTCCTTACTTAAAAAATGACACAGGAGCGTAGCAGTATACAAAAAGAAGGAGAGGGAGAGGGAGGGGATATTAATAATTATTTTTTTTAAGATTTTTAATTTATTTGCCATTGGATTTGTATTTAGATTTTTGTAATTTGAAAAATATAATCAGGGTTGCCATATGATATAAAAAAGATTAGGGGAAATACATATATTTTTTTGAAATGTTTTATATTTTTTGGGGATTTCTAAAAAAACCTTGAAAAAATTAAGAGAAAAAAATCGCTCTTCCACCCCCAACTTCTTGTGTGTGAATGACCTCTCTGTTTCAATATTACCCTGCAGCTCATCCTTCTGCTTTTAAAGCTTTGCAAATTTCTTATCTTAAAAAAATGGCACAAGGATGTGGCAGAATATCGAAAAAGGGCTGGAAAATTAAAATTTTATATTATTTTTTAGGATTTCAGTTTATGGCTAACAAAATTATTGCCAAAAACTCAATTACTCCCCATCTTTTTTCTTTTTTTCTGTGAGTGCCGCCTCTGCTTGCTGCTAAATATCCATCTGCTCATCCTCTTCCCATTTTCCATATTTTTGAACAAACTAAAACTAACCTTTCATTTTGTGGTCCATTGGCTACCCCTCCCACGCCCCTTGTACGACAAAAATTTATGGTTGAGGAGGGCGCTGGGGGTTGTGTTTTAAGCAAAACTCAGACACATTCATTAGATTCTAAATTACTTTGGCAATTTACAACAAAACGTAAAAAATGTCCCGAAGATTTATATTAATTTTGCCAAAGAGCAAGCGAGAGAGTGAGAGAGGGAGAGTTAACTTAAGGGAATAGAATTTGTTATGGTTGTATGCCCAAAATGGCTAAGGAATTTTCAAAATTAGTTTTTCAAAATGTGGTTGGGAAAGAAATTTTCCACAAAAAAAAACTTTGCCAAATTGGGAAATTTAGTTGAATTACGATTTTTTTAATTTAAATTGTCTTAAATGGTATTTTTGGACAAGAAAAATTTCTATTCTGCTGAGTTGATTGCAAAATTTTAATTCAAAAATATTCTTACAAAAAACAACCTCTCCTCTATTCACATATGTGTAATAAAAAAGTCAGACACTCTATTGTGATTGAAAAATACTCATTAGGCCAAACTGTTTACGTTTGACAATACGACGGAAATTATATGTTGATCAATTCATCATGGCATCAATTTTACTTTGGCTCTTTTTTAATTAAAGAGAATTATTCCCTTTTTTTCTTACATTTCTGATTTAACGGTCCTTTGTTTACATTTCTCCATTGATCTCTGCATGCAATGAAAAATCTCTTAAACGGCATGCAATGAGAAAACTCTTTAACGGCATGCAATGAGAAATCTCTTTAACGGCTCCATTGTTTATATTCATTTTTCTCTCAGATCAACTTTACCGTTATTCATGCAATGAAGGCATCTGAAACACAACACAATAATAGCGTAAGGCGTCAAATGGTGATATTTGCCTTGTTGTATGATCAAAAGGAATTTTTGAACTTTCTTTTTTAAAAATGTGAATGGGAAAGACATTTTCATAAACAAAAAATAAATAAATAAAAATCTGAATTAAATGTAGCTGAATAGCGATTTTTTTTAATTCATCGTTATTGAAATTTTTGGGCAAACAATTCAAAAAAAGTTTCCAGCGATTTTTTTGTGAAAATTGTAATTCAACTGAGCTGAGTTTCAATTTCCGTGAAGAATCTTCAATACAGCTGAGATTCTGGCGTTCCTTTTAGGAAAACTTTAATTTGGCACAGCCGAATTTCATATTCTCCTGTAAAAATTTGAATTAGAAAAAATTAGATTAGAAAATTAGAATTTAAGTCAGTTAAATTATATTTCTCCCGAAAAAGACTTCAATTCAGCTAAGCTGAATTTAAAATTAAGGCTAAAACTTCAATTCTTCGTAGGAAACTACCAAGTTTGCCATTAAAAATGGAATTTGTAATGTTAAAAATTGACTTATTTATGGCATTTTTACTGGGCAGGATGCTCCCAATCCCCCTTATCCCCCCTACCTCACCCTTTTAAAGTCATTTGCTGCTAATATTCTTTGCAATGAAATTTCTATTTGATTTTCCTAGGAAAGTCCTAGTGAAAGGGTTGTTTATTTGTCTGCTCTACCTTCCTTGTGCTGTGTACCTCTCATACAGACCGACAGGAGGCCCGCCAACGATGTTCCTGGGCCAAACATTTTCATTTTCCTGTATATAATATAAACAAACAGTTAAACAAGCATTCATACTCCCCCTCCCCCTCTCCGCCCCAAAGGATATGTATCCAGTTTATATGGTTGCCTGTATTTAGCCACTGCCATAAAAGCTTCCCCAAAATATCAACCTTTTCATTGAAAATGTTTTGCAAACAGCGCAGTGTCATCTCTGTTTTTGGTAACTCTCAGACAAATCTCCTTTCCCCCTTTCTTTGAACACATAATTTTCTTCTTGTTGTTGTAGTTGCTTTTGCATTTTGACTAGATTCTGTAGCTCAAATTTGCTGCTACCTCAATATTTGCTGTGTTCAGTTCAGTAACAGGCGGCATAGCCAGAGAAACGAACTCCAAGCTCGGCAAAGAGTTGACGTAAATCCGATTCCTTACTTGGGGAAACAGTTGAAAATTGCCTGAGGTGTTGTACGGACCCAAAATTAAATTTCGTTGTGGAAAAATATTTTCAAGTGAAAGGCAAAAAAAAAAAACGAAAATAAAAACAAAAAATATAAACAAAAGAAGTGGACATTCGGAAGTTTTTAAAAAGAAAAATAAATTTAAAAAGAATTGAAAAATGTAAGAAAATCCAATTTTTTTAAGTACCGTTCAATTGAATACAATTTTTTAAAAATTTCGCATCAATTTAACTTTGCAGAACATAAGAAAATTACATTTTGGTTAACAGTTTTCCTTAATAATCCTGATTTTTGGAGAAAATCCAAATTCAGGCTTCTGAATTTAAAGTTTTTTGAAGATATTTCCAACATAATTGTTTTTTTATGCAAAATTAAAATTTTCAGAACAGAATATAAAAAATTTGAGGAATTTATTTTTTAAACGTGTCTCTCTTCAACTAAAAATTAATACTTTTTGGTGATCGAAATCAAGTACCCTACTGTGAATTCAAATCACAATAGTGTATTTAGAGAGGAGTCTTGATAAAAAGCTGAGGGAGACACCTAGTATGACAGACATGACAGCATTCACAAAACTGTAAAGTTGAGGGAAATCTCTCTACGTTTTTTAAATGTTAATGTATTTATTTAAATTTTTATTTATTTTATTTGATTTATTAATAATTTTCGACCAATTTTTATTTCTAAAAAAGTTGTCATTAGTCATGTCAAGTCAAATAAATATTTTAGTTATTCTTTAAATTATTTCTTCTGCGATTTTGTTCCCCTTTAGGACATTCATAACTCAAATATAATCTCATTTTTTTCATTTTCCTATGGTTTCATACATAATTTCGGACTACAGTAACCTAATCATCTTAGGTGCTTAGTTGACATGTTTAGGTTACTATAGTCCGAAATTATTTATGAAACAATGGGCCGTTAAACCATAAGGAAATGAATAAATGAGATTATATGTAATTACTGAAAGGCCAAAATTAACAAAATCGCTCTACTTTTATTTACATCAATGCTGTGCACCAAGGTGTTCTTGCGCAATAGGCCAATTTCTATTAGCTTTTTGATAAACAACCAACCGTTTAATTTTCTATCTATTCTTCATTTAATTTTATGTATTTTATAAACAATGTTAGACAATATTCGCTTGTAAAAAATAGTTGAAAGAAATTGTAAAATTTAATAAAAAATGCAATTTTTATTTTCTATTAAACAATCTCTTCATATTATTTTGTTCAACTCTGATTTTTATTCCCCTCAAATTGTGCACTCCAAATACTCTTCACATGTCATTTTAACGGCTCCACGTTGATTGCTTACATTTTTCTAATGATCTATAATTACATAATTTACATTCCATTTCTCCATTAAGCAAATTATCCTCCTCTCCACTATTGTGATTGAAATATCATCATTCAGTCAGAATTTCAATTAGTTAATGAATTTAGTTTTACTCTTGGTGCCTTTAATTCATTACAATTGGAACGCTTTTCTCATATGTCTTATTAGATGGCAATTTTTTTGTTTACATTTCTCCATGATTCTCTGCTTACAATGAGAAACCTCTTTAAAGGCTCCATTGTTTACATTCATGTCGCCGATGACTCCCTTTTATTTTTTTCTCTCTGATCAACTCGACCGTTATTCATGCAAGGAAAATATCTAAAAAGACAACTCAATGATGGCGTAAGGCGTCAAACGACGACTTTGGTCTTTGTTATTTGTATTTATTGGTATTTAATAAAAAAAGTGTAATTTTTCTTATAACTTTAATTGAAAAATGTTTGTAAATATAGTTTACCGCATTATTTCATTCTTATTTTTCTCTCAGTTCAACTCTCCCTTTTGCCATTCAATGAAAACATCTAATAAATCAACACAATGATGGCGTAAGGAGTCACCGTGGTTTTTATAAAAAACAACATTAATGGCAGTAATCCTGACTATTTTGCAACAACAAAATTCCTTATATTTTTCATTGAAATTATTGTATTTTTCATTATTAATTCTTTATTTTGTGTATAACTATTTTAAACCTCTATTAAAATTATTATTTTTTTTTGCAGACTTCAACAGAACGCTCATTCGATTTTGATGTCGATGATGCCATCGATGAAGATTCCGGTTCAGATTTTGATGAGGATGAAGATCCAGATAAAATAGAAGTGCCGGGTAAGTAGGAAATTGCAAAAATACAACAACCGAGCAATGTATTTATGATAAGTTTTATAAACAAGGAGACCACAAAACTTTAAACACCACCCGTTTTTTTAATTTTTATGTTAAATACAGAATATTTAGACAACAATTCTAACAAAATTTGCCACCACTCAACCCCATTATCCCTTATTTAAATTGACCAAACGGATTCTCTTGCCAAAAACTCATATTTAAAGCATAGACAATTTTTGATATGATGACAATAATACAAACAAATTTGCCATCCCAAATGGCCTCCAACCCTCCGTTGAACTAGTCATCAACTCAATTAACAAAAGGGTTCAATTTTAAAAAATATACCCCTTACTATTGGAAAAAATTTGACCAAAGAAAGGCAGGGGTAACAACAATCTAGTCATACTTCAAACCCAACCGTCCACCACTCCCTCCATCTTCCAATCCTGTTATAAAAATTTTAAACAACAAAATTTTGCCAACAGTTTTTCAAATATTTATGGGCGACAACGAACGAACGAGCGACGAGTATGTTTGTCGAAATGTGGTTTTGTCTCCAGCAAAAACAAAAGTTAGCCTGGCCCTTTAATATTGGCAATTTTGAAAAAGTATTTAAACTTAGGTATGGGCTGCTGCTGGTGATAGTCATTTCCATTTGCTACAAACAGGGTGAGATGAAAAAACTACAACCAACTTCAGACTGCTGTCATTTCTAAGCCACTCGTCTGACAGCTGTTTTAATTATTCCAGTGACAGTGTGACGGTTTCATTGGCCGTTTGGAGGATATAATTCGTGTCAAATGTGACCAATTCGAACAAATCTAAACATATTCTAACATTTGATGATATTTCCAACACTTTTTGCTTTCATTCAATAAAATTTAAAAAACAAAAATGTAAAAATTATGGCATTTGACTTTGTTTCCGGTTTATCTCACCCTGTATTAAAAACCAGTGTCTCCAGTTCTCCATCCCGGCATTTTTTTTTGTTGAAAATGAATTGTCACATAACTTGAAACAATTTTCGACCATACTAGTAACTTTTATATGAAAACGTCTTTCTCTTTTTGTTGTTTATCGAAAACTTTTTGTTGGCAAATATCTTTCTCCGGGTGTTCCCTTTTATATTTTCCTTTGATGTCCCAGGGGTAGAAGTTGACACAAATGAAAACTTTTCACAAAAATCCAAAAAATTTCAAATATAAATAATAAAATAAAAGCAGCTAAGTTTGGCCGGGCCGAACTTTTAATACCCTCCACTATTTCGAAGGAAATTGAAATTTTTCAAAAAAAATCCAAAAACTACCACTTAAATAAAAACCGTTATATGAGGAATTATACGAAGTCGTGGACCTGCATACAAACATTTTTGTCACAGGTTGTATATACGAAATCCAGTAAATAATGTCGCTAAAATCATGAAAATACCGAATATCGAGAGGTACCGTTATATGGGGGCGAAGACTTGGACCTGCATACTAACATTTTTGTCATAGGCTGTAGTATCCATTACGAACTTCAACTACGAAATTTCTATTAAACAATCTCTTTGTATTATTTTATTCAACTCTGATTTATATCCCCCTCTAATTGTGCTCTCCAAATTCTCTTCTCATGTCATTTCAACGGCTCCACATTGATTGCTTACAATTTACTAATGATCTCTTCACATAATTTACATTCCATATTTCCATTAAGCTCTTAATGTTATCTTCAAATTATCCTCTTATCCACTATTGTGTTTGAAATATCATCATTTAATCGAAATTTCAATAAGGATCCATTTTGACAACACGGCGGAAATTGTATGTAGGTCGAGAATGAAAAACGGAGTCAAGTTTTACTCTTTGCGCCTTTAATTCAATCCAATTGGAACGCTTTTCTCATATGTCTTATTAGACGGCACATTTTTTGTTTACATTTCTCCATGATTCTCTGCTTGCATGTCGCCGATGACTCTCTCTAATTTTTTTCTCTCTCTGATCAACTCGTCCGTTATTCGTGCAAGGAAAACATCTAAAAAAACCAACACAATAATGGCGTAAGGCGTCAAACGTCAACTTTGGCTTTTGTTATTTGTATTTATTGGTATTTAAAAAGAAACATATTATTTTTCTTACTATTTTTATTGAAAAACGACTATGCGAAGACTTGGACCTTCATACAAACATTATTGTCATAGGCTGTAGTACCCATTACGAAGTTCAAATACGAAATTTGAGAAAATTCTGGTAAATACTGTCGCTAAAATCATGAAAATACCAAATATCGGGAGGTAACGTTATATGAGGGCTATACGAAGATCTGGATCTGCTTACAACATTTTTTCCCGTAGGTTTTAGTATCCATTACGAACTTCAACTACAAAAATTTCTATTAAACAATCTCTTTGTATTATTTTATTCAACTCTGATTTATATACCCCTCTAATTGTGCTCTCCAAATTCTCTTCACATGTCATTTTAACGGCTCCACATTGATTGCTTACAATTTACTAATGATCTCTTCACATAATTTACATTCCATATTTCCATTAAGCTCTTAAAGTTATCTTCAAATTATCCTCTTATCCACTATTGTGATTGAAATATCATTTAATTGAAATTTCAATTAGGATCCGTTTTGACAACACGGCGGAAATTATATGTAGGCCAAGAATGAAAAATGGAGTCAAGTTTTACTCTTGGCGCCTTTAATTAATTCCAATTGGAACGCTTTTCTCATATGTCTTATTAGACGGCAAATTTTTTGTTTACATTTCTCCATGATTCTCTGCTTGCAATGAGAAATCTCTTGAACGGCCCCCCATTGTTTACATTCATGTCGCTGATGACTCTCTTTTATTTTTTTTTTCTCTCCGATCGTTATTCGTGTAAGGAAAACATCTAAAAAAACCAACACAATAATGGCGTAAGGCGTCAAACGACAACTTTGGCCCTTGTTATTTGTATTTATTGGTATTTAATAAGAAACATATTATTTTTCTTATTATTTTTATTGAAAAAATTACTATGCGAAGACTTGGATCCGCATACAAATTGCATACATTTTTGTCATAGGCTGTAGTACCCATTACGAACTTCAAATACGAAATTTTAAAAAATTCCTGTAAATAATGTCGCTAAAATGAAGAAAATACCGAATATCGGGAGGTACCGTTATATGGGGGCTATACGAAGATCTGGATCTGCATACAACATTTTTCCCATAGGTTGTAGTACCCATTAGGATCTTCCAGTACGCAATTTTAAAAAATTCCGGTAAATAATGTCGCTCAAATCATGGAAATACCGAATATCGGGAGGTACATTTGTATGGGGGTTATACGAAGAATTGGACCTGCATACAAAAATTTTTATCATAGGTTGTAGTATCAATTACGAACTTCAAATACGAAATTTGAAAAAATCCTGTAAATAATGTCGCTAAAATCATGAAAATACCGATGTACCGTTATATGGGGGCTATACGAAAACGTGGCCCGACATAGCTCATTTACGAACTTAACCTGCCTACTGGTAAACTATGCATGTATGCAAAATTTTAGCCTCTACCTCAATTCGTTCGAAAAATAGCGGGATTGCAACAGACAGACGGACATCGCTAGATCGTCTTAGAATTTTTAGCAGATCCAGAATATATATACTTTGTACGGTCTACCATGAAGGAGTTACAAACAGAATAACCCTCCATAGAATGGTGGAGGGTATAAAAATTACAATTTCTCAAAATTTTTATAAAATCTAAAAATATTTTTTTACTAAGGTCCAATAAATGTCTCCTATCTTTCATATCACCACTGCCAATTAACTCATAAAGGAACAATCTCATCATTTTGCAATAGACATTTCCGGACATGGCACTCTTCATCTCCTAACCCACCATCCTTTTGTCATTAATTATGTTAAGAGATTCCCATATCTAGAAGAAGACAACGCGAAAAGTATCCTTATTTGTGTACGAAACACATGTATCAATTTCATGTCCTTCCTCCTATGTACCTTGGCATTTATGTATAGGTATATATGCATATATGACTCCATGGCTGTGTATGGAGGTACCATTTATATCCTCTTATATACATAATGTCATTAGTATTATGTGTATGTGTGTGTGTGTATTTCCAGATAAAGTTGTCTGAATGTGTGTGTGTGTATTTCTTAATTACATTTGCATAATTATGAATTTATTGGCAAATTTTTCGAAATTCATTTGGGATTGTTGTTCTCAAAACAGCTACTCATGTTTTGTTTGAATTCTGCCAAGACAGGTTCTAACTTCAGATTTTAAAATTCGGATTTAGGATTCCAACTAAAGGATCAAAAAGCATAGCATTTCCAATGTCCAATGCAAAGACATCTTTGTGGACTATCTGTCAAAGGCAAGAAGAGATTTATTAATAAATCAAATACAAGCGGAGGATATCACAAAGAGTAAATACATACCCCAACATGCATACAAACATACATACATACTATTGTGTTATCTTCAGGGGTATCCTGTGCCATTATATACTAAAGGGCTGCAAATGTGACAATTTTCTCTCTTTATGCCATGGAGAGAAAACGCTCGTCATGTTGTGCCCTGTTTGATCAAACGCATAACAGTACGTGACATCCAACCAAATGCTCGATGTCTCGTCATGTCGGTCACACTCAAACCCATCGTCATAACATGTAATAACCAATAAAAGGGAATGTTGAATAGTGTGTCAGGCAAAAATGTTCTATCAAAAAAACAACAACAATTATGAAACAATTGCCAACGAAAAAGACACACACGTGATGAATGCAAAGCGCAATCGCTACCTGCTTTTCCGATATGTGAAAAAAATTGTAACAAAGAATTTCTTGGCGAATACTAAAATATTAAAGGTACTTCTAATTGGTCCACACAAAATGTTCACATTTCGTGGTTATTGACGAAAAAATGTAAAATGTTAATCCTTATAAAAAACAATAATCCCCTGAAAAATGTTCTTATTTTGATTATAATTT